TTATAGTAAAAATATTAATCAAAGTATGAAATAACGAAAGTATAATTATTTGGATAAGATTTATATACATTCCAACCAATCATATGAAAACATTTAGTATAAATTCAATTTAGCCACATAGTTCAAATTCATTGATAATTCCCAAATTTTAGTGTTTAAGAAAATTTGCAACCAAACAATTTTGAAAAACTCTATATGTCAAAAATACAGACTCACCCAAAAAAAAATTACTCATAACATGGAACGTAGTGCTAAAAGAAAATATTGTTGCAAACCATTTTCATAATTTGAGATATTTCTAACAATGTATGATTTTTTCTTTCTACTACATTGTTTTATTGAAGAGTTCCAGGAGCCAAGAAATAATGTTCATGGCCATCAATTTTGCAAAATATCATCAAAATCAAAATTATAAAATTCTCCATCATGATCACTTCAAATATATAATAGTGTATCCCTTCTCATTTTGAACTTTTCTTCAAAGATGTTTAATTGATTCAAAGTTTCATACTTTAGGTTCAAAAATAGGACTGAGGAAATCTACAATAGTTATCAATAACGACGAAGTGTAATGCCTACCATCTGAGCTTGTGATTCTAGATGGACCAAAATGATTCATATGAAGAAAGCGAACATGTTTTGTAGTCGAAGAATATTGCTTAAGTTAGAAGAAAACTCTTCAATTGTTTTTCAAATTGACATGCCACAAATTTTCTTTTTCTCAAATTTCAAATGTGGCATACCTTTAACAAATTTTTGGAAATATTTGAAAGTTGGTTCATGCAAACATGACTCTAATCTTATATGCCACAATCAAGTATCTTTTAAAATGTGATAAACATTTTTTTTCACTTTCAAACTCAATGTTTATTATATAAACAATCTTATTTTGGCTTCCTATAAACATCACTCATTTTGATGTAGCATTATTAATAAGGAAGAATCAAGTTTGATATGATAACATTTATCGCACAATTGACTAAAAACTAAGTAAGTTATGTTCAATGTTATCTATGTAGGGAACATTTTTCAATAAAAGGAGATGGGTGATCACCAATAATTTCAATGATTTTTATTTTAATATTATTTTTAAAAACATCATGACCACCATCATTCTTTTTGAAACTTGAAAAATAAGATTGAGCAACATAATAGACCACATTAAATTTCATAGCATTATTCAAATACATAAAACTGGATTTATACTCGACTAAGACATCCTCTTGACATAACTAGACGTCCGCATAGGGAAGCTCCAACATTCTGTCAATCTGGACATCCGTTTCCTTTTTTTTGTTTTTAATAAAATTTTGAAATTTATTATTATAGAGGCATAAAGAAATAGTTTTATCATCAAATGAAAATAAACATATTAGTCACAAATTTCAATTTCATCTAAAGTTTCCAAACCTCTTCAAATATGTGAAAATCTATCAAGACCTTGAGGCTTAGTAAAACTATTAGCCAATTATTTTTTTGTATAGCTAGTAAATCAAGGTCGATGACTTTGGATGCGAAAGATCTAATGTCTTAGTGCCACTAAGACATCTAAAAATTCGTTTTTCGGTACAAAGGTGTTATTCTTTATGATTAAATTGAAATATGGCACATAAGCACATACCAAACATAATATCAGGGTCCACTATAAGTTAAGTAAGAAGAGTTCGACCATACCTCGATATTTTGATGTGTATACAAATATACCTTATCGTCCAATTTGATTGATAACTTCTTTTGACTGTTTATTGACTCCAATTCTTTCATTTTGAACTCCATTCTTTCTTTTTAAGAATAGATCTTGTTTTCCGGTCATGTGCTCAAACATCTACTAACTCAAGAGGGTTCGCTCTTTATTTTCTTTGATACCTACAAAATAATTTAGTTTTTGTTTTTTGGTACCCGTACAACTTTGAGTCATTGATTGTTAGTTTTTGTAGACTTTGGAATTCACTTGTATTTGCTCTCAAAGTGAAACCTCTTTTGATTAAACAATTAAAATATACATGTCCATTTTTGCAATAAAAATTACATCTCACATTTGAAATAGGGAAAGTAGAAGCCTTAACAAAGAAGTTTATAAAAGACTTTTGTTTTAAAAATGGTTTGTATCCAACTCCTCCTTTATCAAAAACACATTTTTGTTCACCAAGCATTAAATCAAAATTTTTATTACCTTCAGTAAATTTGTGACAAAATGAGGCAGATCTAAAATCTTTTCTTTTATAAAGGAATCCTCTTTAATTAAAGAATCGTAATTGAGTTTTTCAAAATCATTTTGAGTTTCCAAAAGTTTCCTTACTTCTTTTTCCAATAAAGAATTTTTCTTTTTGAGAGTAGAGTGTTTGAAAGCAAGTTTTTCAAATTTTTTAAGAAGTTCATCATATAAAATAGATAATTCATCATATAAAGAATTGTCATTTGTGTTTACCTCATTTTCAAAGACCATGAAGCACATTTTTGCAATTTCCACTTGACTTCCATCTTCTTCATGGTCATCATCATCATTCTCATCCCATATTGATTGAAGTTCTTTTTTTTTCTTTTTTCTTTTTTTTCTTTTTTTTGATGAATATATTCTTCTCTTCACTCTTCTCTTCTTTCTTTTTGAATTGATGATTGTTGCAGAAGCTTTTCCATTTCTTAATAAGAAGAACTAGATCATCAGATTCTTCATCATTCAAATTTTCACTTGAAGTGCCTTCATTAACTATTGATTCTAAAGCAATTTGGCGTCTTTCTTCTTCTTTGCTTTTCATTGTTTTCTCCTTCGTCTCGATATGATTTAACTCATATGTCATCAATGTCCCATAAAGCTCTTCCAATAGATAAGTTTTGATATCTTTAGTGTTCTCTATCAACATTCTCAATGGGCCCCATTATTCCGAGAGTGACCTAAACACTTTACTTACAAGTTCACCGTTAGTGAATTTTCTATCAAAGCCTTTGACGCCATTAACAATATTGGTAAAATAAGTAATCATGTCAACAATCGGTTCATTCTCTTTCATAAAGAAATTTTCAAAATCTTTAACTAAGAGATTTGTCTTAGCTTCTTTCATTTTGCTAGTTCCAACATGAGCAACTTATAAAGCATGCCAAATATCATAGGTGGAATCACATGTACTAATACGATTAAATTCATTCCTATCTAAAGCACAATAAAACATACTTTTTGCTCTAGCATTTAACATCAATTTTCTTCTATATTCAGCATCGTACTCCTCTCTAAGTTTTGGAATGATTTGATCTAACTTACCATCAACTTTAGTAATTTTTGTAGGCACATAAGAACCAAATTCAATAGCTTCCCAAATATCATAATCTATTGATTGAATAAATATCGTCATTCTAGTTTTCCAATAGTTATAATTTGTATCATCAAAGAAATGAGGACGATTTGTAGAATGCCCCTCATGATTTTGAAAAATATGGTTAGACATCAATCAAGATTGTAGAATCTTAATTTCAAAGTCAGCACCTTGCTCTAATACCAACTGAAAGCCCATGAATGACTAACCAAAAGGGGGCAAATTGGTTTTTAAAACTTTTTCAAAAATTAATTCTAGATATAAACCAATATGATAGCGAATATGTTAATTAAACAAATAGGTACAAATAAGAAAGCAAGTAAAGACTAAATTGATAAATTCAAATAATAAGTACAAATATAAAAGGGGTAAGTAAAGAGGAGAAAGAATGCAAACGATATAATTGTCGAGGTTCGATCCAATACAATAATCTACGTCTTCTGTTATCAAGCTCTCCGGCACGAGCAAGACCTTTTCACTATGTTGATTGACTTATGGTGCAAACCAACCATTTACAATACTTATGATGACTTACAAACAAAGAGCACCGATCTTCTACAAAGTTGAGCTTTTACAAAGTCGACCCCCCTTTGTACATTAAAGGTTCATGCCTAAAGCATCTTCCACGCCCATATATACTACTACAACTTACTGGACAATCAAAGTGGGCGCAGTCAACTCTATCCCCACTAGAAAAAGCCACATGTGATTAACGAATTCAGGTGGTATTAGTTTCTTTTTCTTTTTCTTTTTCTTTTTCTTTTTACTTATTTTATTTGTTTAACTACATTAAGGTTCATTCTAATCTTCATATTAAAATTTTGACCTTTTCAATATTTAATTGAATAAAAAGTGAAAATCGTATAAAAGGATCAATTGCACCTATTAAGTGAAAGGTTGAGACTGTTTGTGGTATGATTTGAAGGTTAAGAATCATTTTTTCGAAAATTCGATACATTAGAGACCATTTGTGCCAAAAAGGTTATGCATGTGACAATCACGTACATAATTAACAGCAAATTAGACCTTAGGGATAATTTTTGGAGTTTTAGAACACTAGGGATACTTTGCCCAATGACCCAACGGGTCAAAGACTCTTTGCGTTAATTTCTTGATAATACATACGATGAATTGAACCTTTTCAGTAGTTAATTGAATAAAAAGTCGAAATCATATAGGGGCTGTTTGGGCCCAATTTTTTCACCCAAAAAATTGATTTTTTGACCGTTATTTTACTATTCCAGTCGTCATATTTGACTTCTTCTCTCACAGGTGAATCCCACTTTTTTCCTAACGGTCAAAAAATCAATTCTCAAAATCACTCCCAAGCAGGCTCATAAAAGGATCAATTGCACCTATTAAGTGAAAGGTTGGGGATGTTTGCGTAAGGATCATTTTTGCAAAAATTCGATACATTAGGGACCATTTGTGCCAAAAAAGGTTATGCATGTGACAATCACGTACACAATCAACGGCAAATTAGACGGAAAGAGTCAAAAAAAAAAAAAAAAAAAAAAAAAAAAAGGGGGAATGGCTTGCTCACTAAGTGATAAGGTAGGGATAATTTTTGAAGTTTTAGAACATTAGGGATACTTTGCCCAATGACCCAACAGATGAGGGACTTTTTGCTCTAATTTCCTTATAATACACACGATGGATCGTACAGCTCCTTCTCAGACCTCTAATCTTTAGCACGTATTTGGTCTTCTCATCCTTGAATTTATTGAACTGCATAATCATTCACACATTGACGCACACACTCTCTCTCTTAATCAATTAAGGGAAAACTTCGCCTTATCAAGCTCCTACCCTTCAGCCACTTCCTCCTCCGACTCAAAGAAAGTGGTCAAGAAACAACAGGGACAACTATAAACTGTGAAGAAATAGAGAAAATAACTTGGAAAGATCGAATCTTTAAGCTCTGTGTTCTTCTGTGTGTGTTTCAACAGTCCATTGATTAACCCCAGTACCGTACATGGACTCGAAATCTTTAAGATTCATAACCCACCAATCATTCTTCTTTGCCGTGCGATCTGGGGACCTTGAGTCCCTCGAGAACCTTATCCAGAATGAAGTGTCTGAACCATCCTCTTTAATGGCCCTTCAGAATGATGAAAAGGAGACTGCTTTATACATAGCCGCGAAGAATGATTTCATTGAAATTTTCAGATATTTGCTTGGTTTTTGTGATCTGCAGACTGTTATGATCAGAGCCAAATCAGATATGAATGCTTTCCATGTTGCTGCATCATGCGGCCACCTGGGTATGGCTGTTGTCCCTTAAATCCTTATGACTAGATTTTCTGTTAAATATAAATCTCTGTGTTTGTCTGTATTATAATTTATATCACTCTGTTGACTTCTTGTTCATTTTAATTGTGTAATCTTTATTCAATTTGTATGTGTTTTTTCAGTTTGAGTTTCAATTTCTTGTATAAATGTTTTAATGATGTGTTGGGTTGAAATTAGAAATCTTGATTGAACTGAGGACCTAAGTATGTATGACACAACTCTAATATACTAATTGAGAAGTGAGATTTAACGGCTGATCGTAAGGATAATTGTTAGCTGTTAGTTGATTTTAAGTAATAGAGAAACGGAATAACTCGAGCAAAAACATGTTACTTAGTGAAAAATGCAATGGCATAGCATAGCATTTGTCTTCTGAAAATAAAACCGAATTTTGGGAACTTGTATGGATCAGATTGGGATAGTTGTTACTGAAATAGAGCTTTGTTTGGCTGACAGTTCAAAACAGGAGCTGCAGATGCGCCCGTGATTGCACAAAAGTGTACATCTTTGTGTTTTTGTGCAAGGAAAAAGGAGTATTGTTAAAGATGCTTCAAACGTGAGATACTGCAGTTGGATAGGACTTATTGATTAAGAATGACATTCTCAGTTTGAAGGTTATAAATATGGATTAAGAGGGCTTTTTGAGGTAAGGTTGACAGGATGGGAGTACAATTTTGTCAGAAAATAAACACTTAAATACGCATCTGCTTATAATCAAGAGTAATTTCGGCAAGAGTTTCTACATGAGGATGGAACTTAATTTTGCATTTGGTTTTAGAATGAGGGAAACTGACTTTTTGCTAATATGGGGATATGGGATATGAAATAAAAATTTAAATTTAAATTCAATCAGTGACGTTGTTCTTGAACTTTCTAAACACTTTGCCCTTGTTTGATTTTTAGTTTTTGAGAATCACTTCTCTCTTACACTCATTTTTAACCCCAAATTCTCCCCAAAAAAAAAAAAAAAAATCATTTTTCACATTTCCGCATGACTTTTCCCTACTTTTAGCCACACATTCACAAACAAAAAGAACAGTTTTCAAAGAATCGCTTCTCAGAAAATCTTTATCAAACGAGCACTCAACTAAAATTATTCTGCCTTCTCATTTCGTAAAATTTATTATAGGTTCCTTTATGGAGTAGAACTTTGTTTAATTTTTCTGTTCCTGATTATGACCTATCGGTACATAAATCCTAATACAGCAGTAAACTTAGATAATTATTTGCTGAATAAGATTTTTTATTTTAAAAGGGGTAGCATTTTATTGACTTTGTTGACAATGAATCAAATGATATAAGTTAATATGACAGTAGCAAGCTTGCAGTTGATCCAGAAGTTTTTGACTTTTTTTTTTTTCCTGGCTTTCAGGCACTATAGTCCTGTATTTTATAAATTTGAATTTCCATGTGATTAATTGTGCTTGAATATAGTTGGAGACTTGACACTTAACCAAAAATCTTGACTTTGTGTATTCAGAAATTGTGAAGGAACTTCTTGGGAGATGGCCTGATCTCTGTAATGTATGCAACTCATCAAACACAAGCCCTTTATATTCAGCTTCTGTGCAGGGTCATCTAGATGTTGTGAATGCCATATTAGATGCTGATGTGAGCTCAATAAGAATTGTGAGGAAGAATGGGAAAACTGCATTGCACACAACTGCAAGATATGGCCTCTTACACATTGTAAAAGCACTTATTGAAAGGGATCCAGGAATCATCTCCATCAAAGATAAGAAGGGCCAAACTGCGTTGCATATGGCTGTAAAAGGTCAGGATACTTCTGTAGTAGAGGAATTACTGGAATCCGATTGCTCAATATTAAATGAACGTGACAAAAAGGGTAATACAGCTGTGCATATAGCCACACGGAAAAATCGTCCTCAGGTACTGATTAACTAATATGTTTTTATGTAGTGGAAAAACTAATACTATGGGGTTTTGTTTCTTTTATTCCAATGTTGGCATTGTTTTATTTATTTTCGTTTTA